ATCTCGTGAAGAAGTACTTCGAAATCTAACGAATCAACTATTAGAAGCATTTAGTCTACAAGATCCTACACAGCATCAACTTTTTAAAGAAACATCTCAAAATACTAATGAAGGGTTTCAACGCCTTTTTGAATGTTATGATATAGGAAAGGATCGATTAAAAATTATTTACAAACAAGACATTGAAAAATCAATACCACGAGATACATCAGGCAGGCACGCCCAAAATGTTATTGTTGAGCCTTGTGCTCAAAAACAGAAGCGCAAGAAAGAAACAAAATAGAATATTTTACGATTGGTTACATGATATAAGGTCGGGGTTGCTTACAATATATTTTTATTTTTTAAAAAATCATGTACTGTATTGTGTATTATGTATTTTTTTTTAAAAAAAATAAATATTTACTATTAGATGTTTAAATACTTTTTTGATGTCCAATATTTTGATTTGAAATTTCTTCGCACTTGCTGCATAGTTAATATAATTAGATTCTATCTAGCATATTTATCGAATATTATAATAATTTTGGCTCATATCTTTTTTACAAAGGCAAAAATTTTGAAATATTTTAGCAGCAAGTGCTTCACGTGACTATTCGAACTAATCCAAAATGCATATCGAGTAGTAATTGACATGTCAAATAAGAAGTGTCACTGAAAATAACTCACAATAACAATAACGATCCTTCTAAATTTGATTTTTAACTGCAATAAAAATTTTAGATAAAAGAAAATACGATACTAAACAATGCATATCTAAAGTTTTAAAATAGATTATAATTTTGTATAAAATTTAAATGAATTTTTTTTATCGATTTACATATAAAAATTCGATGTGACAAGTCATTTGACTATTAATAATTAGCAGTGTGTGTGACATTTCCTTTGACCGTTATGGTTATTGTGTGTTGCTTATTTAAGTATTATACCAGTACGATCACATGAATGTGTAACATGAAATGTGGGAGGGATGGTTTTTTTAAACTTTATCGATGTCCACCCCATGTGACTTTTT